CCCTGTACCCGCTCCCCTCTGACAGCTGTCAGTTTGTTCTCTGTATCTGTATGAGTCTGTTTCTATTTGTTTATTTTGTTCATTAGATCCCACATATAAGTGAAATCATATGGTACTTGTCTTTCTCTGACTGATTTATTTCACTTAGCATAATGCTCTCCAGGTCCATCCATGAAGTCATAAAGGGTAGGGTTTCTTCCTTTTTATGGCTGAGTAGTATTCCATTGTATAAATGTACCACAGCTTTTTTATCATTTATTTAAAAAAATTTAATATATTTTTATTTATTTCAGAAAAGAAGGGAGAGGGAGAGAGAGACAGAATCACCAATGATGAGAGAGAACCACCGATCAGCTGCCTCCCACATGCCCCACACTGGGCACCCGGGCACGTGCCCTGACCAGAATCGAACCACAACCTCCTGGTTCACAGGTCGATGCTCAACCTCTGAGCCATGCAGGCTGGGCTCCACTCATCTATTTTTGGACATAGATGGGCTGTTTGCAAATCTTGGCTATAATAAATATCACTGCAATGAATAAAATGAAATACCTAGGAAAAAATTTAATCAAGGTGCATATATTCTTTTGAATCACTGTTTTGGGTTTCTTCGGATATATTCCCAGAAGTAGAATTGCTGGGTCATAAGGCAGTTCTATTTTTAATTTTTCGAGGTAACTCCATACTGCTTTCCACAGTGGCTGTACCAGTCTGCATTCCCACCAAATAGGAGGGCTCCCTTTTCTCTGCATCCTCACCAGCACTTGTTGTTTGTTGATTTAATGATAGCTATTCTGACAGGTGGGAGGTGATATCTCATTGTTTTAATTTGCATTTCTCTGATGATTAGTGACATTGAGCATCTTTTCATTTGTCTGTTGGCCATCTGTATGTTCTCTTTGGAGAAGTGTCTATTCAGGTCCTTTGTCCATTTTTTAATTGGATTGTTTGTTCTTTTTGGTGTTGAGTTTTTTCTTTTGTTTCCCTTGCCCTCCTAGGAGATATATCAGAAAAAATATTGTTATGAGAAATGCCTGAGATTTTACTGTCTTTGTTTTCTTCTAGGAGTGTTATGGCTTTAGGTCTCACATTTAAGTCTTTAGTCCATTTTGAGTTTATTCTTGTATATGGTGTAAGAAGGTGGTCTAGATGAACTTTTATTGCACATATCTGTCCAATTTTCCAAACACCATTTGTTGAGTAGACTACCTTTTTCCCATTGTATTCTTGCCTCCTTGTCAAATATTAATTAACCATAAAGGCATGGGTTGATTTCTGGGCTCTCTATTCTGTCCCACTGATCTATAAGTCTTTTTTTTTTTTTAATTGATTGCAGAGAGGAAGGGAGAGGGAGAGAGAGGTAGAAACATCAATGATGAGAGAGAATCATTGATCGGCTGCCTCCTGCATGGCCCCTGCTGGGGATTGAGCTCACAGCCTGGGTATGTGCCCTTGACTGGAAAGGAACCCTGGACCCTTCAGTCCGTAGGCTGATGCTCTTATCCACTGAGCCAAACCGGCTAGGGCTGTATGTCTGTTTTTATGCCAGCGCCATGTTGTTTTGATTACTGTGGCCTTATAATATAGTTTGATATCAGGCAGTGTGAGTCCTCCAACTTTGTTCTTCTTTCTCAAGATTGCTATGGCTCTTCTGGGTCTTTTGTGTTCCATATAAATTTTTGGAATATTTGTTCTAGTTCTGTGAAATATGCCATTGGTATCCTGATAGGAATTGCGTTGAATTGATAGATTCCTTTAGGCAGTATGGCCATTTTAATGTTTGTTCTTCCTATCCATGAACATGGTATCTATTTCCACTTACTTGTATCTTTAATTTCTTTCTTCAGTGTCTTATTATTTTCCGAGTACAGATCTTTTATATCCTTGGTTACGTTTATTCCTGGGTGTTTTATTTTATTTCTTGATGTACTTGTAAATGGGATTGTTTTCTTAATTTTCTTTTCTGATAGTTCGTTACTGGTGTATAAAAATTCACTGATTTCTGGATATTTATTTTGTATCCTGCTACTCTACTGAATTCATTTATCAGTTCTGTAGTGTTTTGGTGGAATCTTCAGGGTTCTCTGTATACAGTATCATATCATCTGCAAATAATGACAGTTTTATTCTTCCTTTCCAATTTGGATGCCTTTTATTTCTTCTTGTCTGATTGCTGTGTGTGGGCCAGAGTGGGGCTCTGGGGTGTCCACATAGAGCACAACATTCAAGTGTTGAGGGTTGGCAAGAGTGAACCCTTGAAGGCTTGGCTGGGATGCACGGGGTCTAGAAGCTGAGAAGGGAAGAGGAGCTAGGAGAGACTTGGGACTAGAACAAAACCAGCCACCAGGATGGGCCACTGGTCACAGAGCACAGATGGAGGATGCAGGTAGAAGCATAGGGTCAGCGTGGGGGGTAGGGGGAAGAGAAGGGAGGCGGGGCTCTGGGCCCAGGGAATCCCAGACTGGGGTGGGGTATGTTCAGGGTGGGCGGGGTCTAGGGCAGGGGGGCTA